TCTGTTTTTAGGCTTCTTTTCCCACGAAAAAGGTCGCTTCCGGTCTATATGAGCATGAATCGGTAAGGAGAAAAATGGCGGCCTCAGGTGGACATGTCGACCTAATGTTGCGGTGAAATTATAAAGTCTGTGCTTGTGATTGGTCACTGAGGTTTCCTTCAGGGGTCTGAATTTGCAAGAAATTCAAACTAAAAATAGATGGGTGTGTGAAAAGGCCGGGACAGGAGTAATTGGGGTGGTTGCACACTCCTAGTGATGGGCTCCTGCTTTAAAGGGACACAGTCAGCTGGAGCACATGTGCATCAGATACCATTTCATAGTTAATTTGCATATCACAGAGACGCGATGCATACTGTTTTCAACCAAATATGATAAAAATAATATCATACAACGAGCAAAAGCACACTCAAAAACAGGCTTTTCAGTAAACGATTGAAAATCAAGCAAAACACTGTGAAGATTGAAGCGGATTCCTGGATGTAGTTTGATTTCAGGTTGAGGTGAACTTTTTTCAAAGTGAGAAAACTAGTGTCCAGGTCAGTGCAACGCCAAAGCTGACTGTGTCCCTTTAATGGTAGCATTCAATAGAAAACTAGGTTTGCTTAAAAAACATATAATCAGGAGATAACCAGGAGAGATTGGTGCATTCATCTTGTAGATAAAGTCATCTCATCATCATAAATGATAAAAGAATCAAATTTAAATGCAGTTTTGAATGATTTGTATTGAAAATCTTTAAAGTATGCTAATAAATTTTATTATGCTAATTACTTATGCAAATCAATGACGCAAATTAATGTCCGGTCAAATTGATGAGATGTCTGACCAAAATGAAGATTTGAAAGGACACGTCCTGTTAAAGAAGAAAAATTATTTCCAGCACTGCATACCGTATGCCTTCTTGTCTGTTGATAGTAATCTAGACAGCTCCTTATTGTGTGAGTGTGTTTGTTTCATACAGGCTTTGGAACACTATACAGACATTTTTGACATCAAAAGGGCTATTGTCCACACTCATCTTCTCAATCCTGAGGTAATGCATTGTGTTCTTAAAACATATGTTACATTTAAAATTCCTTTTTTACAATATGAGATTTTTTTTTATACTGACTTCAATGTGTTTTTTGTAGTGGCTGGTGAACTACTTTGGCTCATTGTCTGTTGAAGATTCCTTGGAATGCCTGCGAGCCATGCTTACCCACAACATTCGACAAAACCTTCAGATCTGTGTGCAAGTGGCAACAAAGTACCATGAACAACTCAGCACATCTGCTCTGATTGAGCTGTTTGAGTCATTCAAGAGTTTTGAGGGTAAAGAGTGTAGAACAGTCATTTGCTCGCAAGCATCCATTTTGTTGCTGAAAGATGCTCACTTAAAATAGTTTCACTGAAAGTAATTTGTCTGTTTAAGAAAGATTTGGGGCTTTTACGTGTTGCTGCAATACAATAATAGTGGTTGCATGAGTGGGTTTGCCTGTATGATAATTTTCCAAATAAGACTAAATGGAATTTAGACAAGGTTAAAACCAAGCCAATGCAGCAGCTTCACTAATATTATGTGGGGGGTTCCAGGGAGGTTTACAGGGGCATTGCCATGTACTTTGCTTACATCGCTTGCTAGCTTGCTCGCTTTATTTCTCTCTCTTCCTCCCACATTCTTTGGTAAGTATTCATTCCACACACTGCTTCTCTCAGTGTTGTGTTGATAGGTACCTTGGAGGTGGACTGTGGCTTGGTTGCCATGGTGACCCCCTTGCTGCTGAGGAGATTGCTGCTCTCCTCTGTCGCTACCTTTACAGTACCTACTCTCCAATACTTCAATTGAGTTAGAATTTTAAAAGATATTTGTAATTTGCCTATCCCTTTCTACCCTACTTAAGAAAACTTTTTTCATAAACCTATTGTTGAAACTGTAAAAATCTGTTTTGTATCTTGTAGGTTTGTTTTACTTTTTGGGATCTATTGTAAATTTTAGTCAGGAACCTGATGTCCATTTTAAGTACATACAGGTAAAGATTAATTAGAATGCAGTTGAACTGGATGCCTCATATTATAGATCGTGGTTTTGGTCCTGAGCTTGTACAATTTCTTTGGAATTAACCTACATCACCAGAGTTCTCCTAAAACTTTCAAGTTCACGGATAATGTTTTGTGTAGGTAGCACTAAGCTTTTTGAGACCCTCCTGAATGAAAAAAACATTAACAGACCTATTTTGGTTTTTTTTTTACAGTGGCCTGTAGGAGACATTTCGATATTTTTCATCGCGACATAAAAATTTTGCTTTGGCAACTTAATTAAATGAACATAGCTTCCTTTTTTTGTCTTTGATTTACTGTCAATCGCAGCTCATGACTCTTGATTGCAACACATAACTTGCTATCGCAGCTTACAACTCTTGATCGCGACTTACAACTCTCGATTTCGACTTACAACTCTTGATCGCGACTTATAACTTTGATCGGGACTTACAACTCTCGATCACGACTTATAACTCTAGATCACAACTTATAACTCTCGATCACAACTTATAACTCTCGATCACAACTTATAACTCTTGATCGAGACTTAAAACTTTCGATTGCAACTTATAACTCGCAATTGCGAGTTTTTCGCGACTTATAACTCTTGATCACGACTTACAACTCTCGCATTCGCGCCTGCACTAGGGTCCTGGTGAGAGGTAATATAGAACGTGCTGCAAGTTTCAATATGGTGGACGAAGTGGAGGAGGTGTGCATTTTCCCTATGATTTTAGTTTGTATTTGCTATATGATTGGCTTCAAAAAGGAGTAAATGTGTGTTAAGTGCCTTTGTAGCATTTCAAAGACATCAGGTTGCATTGTAATTCTTGCTCTACAGCATCCACGACTCCCTTGATACTTGAATGGATATTTCTCCTGCGTAGTCCACGACTTCTGAGGATCCTTTTGAGGCGTCTTAAACTTAATGGAATGCCATGATAAATTATACCAGCAGAAATGAGAGCACTTCCCATTAGCTAAAAGAATCCAAGACAGAAGTAATCCTCTATCAAGGCCTCTCGATTTCCATTGCCGCTACATAAAATAGGAATGTAATTTGGAAGAGCTCCGTGGGCATGAAATTGGAAAAGGGCAACAAGAAAAGTCACGGCGAAGTACAGTAGAATCCCGGTAACTTGAACCTGGATAACTTGAATTCCCCGTTAACTCGAACCAAGTCCCCTTTTCCATGGATTTGACCCCACTTTTCGGTTATTTTAACTTGGTTAACTTGAACGCGGATAACTCGAATTCCCTGCTAACTCAAACTAAATTTCGTTTCCCTTGATAAAAATTTAGCCCGATAACTCGAATTCTGGTTCATATAACTCACCAGGGATGTCATCCCATTAACTTTTCTTGTCCTGTAATCAGTAAAAACACTCAAAACTAACACCACAGAAATTTTATGTTAATCAGTGCAACCGACCATTTACATATTTGACAGTCATTTCCTGATCTTATGAGTCATACTGGATGCGGTGCTTTAGCTGTCACTGTATACTGAAGTGCTGAAAAATTGGCAAACTATCAATTATTAACGTGGCAAGTTGGATATTCAATCGACCCTGATAACTTGAACCCCCGGGGTTCTACTGTAATTGCAGATCGCAGCTGCCATATTACATTGTTACGGGCATTAAGTGCATGCACACTGGACAGAGGAAATCAAGTTGCAAAGTTAGAAGTCCCAAGTTATAGCAGAGCTCCGGCGGCCCAAAGGGCCACCAAGCAGAGCCCCATACTCATATAGTAAAGAAAAGGAAACCCATGAGTTGATTTTCTCATGGTTATCATGGCTAGTGGCATTGCTCGTGGGTGCGTACGCGTGATGGCAACGGCAACGACGACGGAGTCATGCAACATGGTGGCCATACTTCAAATAATAGGTTGACAGAGATATGAACCCTTGCTTTACCGTGAACTTCTTTGATATTGGACATCCATGTTATGATCAATTGACATCTGTCAAAACAAGGTATCCGCTAACCAGTATCATGTGACCATATCGCGGACTCAAGTTTACAGCTCCTTGAGGTCGCGCGGTTTTTGAAGTTGACCGCTGACCAAGTGCTGGTTTTCGATTGGATTGCGGGCTCATGTCAGGTTAACTTGTTGAAAACAGGGCAGGATTGTTCAGAAGGCGGATAATGCTAACCCAGGATTAAAAGTTAACCGAGTTATAACTTTTTCTTCTATACAAATGTTTTTTGCTGCCTTGTTTTGTGTATAAGGTGATTATTAAAACTCAAAACAGAAGGCCAAACCATATACAGAAAACCTCACTGCAAAGTTGAAAACTCAAATCAAAATTCTACCTTTTCCTGGGTTAGCTTACTCGGGCTCTGAACAACCCAGCCCAGGAGCTATGCTTTTAGGCTGGCCTAAATCTATATATTAAGTTGCAATCGAAAGTTTTAACTCGCAATTGAGAGCTATAAGTCGCGATCGATAGAGTCGAACGCGAGTTATAAGTTGCGATCGAGAGTTATAAGTTGCGATCATGAGTTATAAGTTGCGATTGTGAGTTATAAGTTGTGATCGCAAGTTATAAGTTGCAATCAGAGAGTTATAAGTTGCGATCGCGAGTTATAAGTCGCGATTGAGAGTTAAGTTGCGATCGCGAGTTATAAGTTGCGATCGCGAGTTATAAGTTGTGATCGAGAGTTATAAGTCACGATCCCAAGTTATAAGTTGCGATTGTGAGTTATAAGTTGCGATCGCTAGGTATAAGTTGTGATCACAAGTTATAAGTCACAATCGAGGGTTATTAGTTGCGATCGCGAGTTAAAAGTTGTGATCGAGAGTTATAAGTTGCAATCGCGAGTTATAAGTTGCGATCACGAGTTATAAGTCACGATTGAGAGTTACAAGTCGTGATCGAGAGTTATAACTCGCGATCGAGAGTTATTAGTTGCGGTCCCGAGTTACAAGTTGCGATCGAGAGTTATAAGTCGCAATTGCGAGTTATAAGTTGCAATTGCGAGTTATAAGTTGTGATCGCGAGCTATAAGTCATGATCATGAGTTATAAGTTGCGATCAAGAGTTATTAGTTGTGATCGAAAGTTGTAAGTCGGGATCATGATTAATAAAATCGCAGTCAAGAGACAAAGAAAGACAAAAAAAGAAAGCTATGCTCATTTATTAAGTCACCAAAGCAAAATTTTTTATGTGACAATGAAAAATATCGAGGTGTCCCTGACAGGCCACCGTAGGTTTTTATCAGATACATTAATTATTTCAAGTAATGAATATATGGTATTGCTTAAAGTATTGATTCCTCAGGCACCACTGAAGAACTGTCACTGACTGTAGTCAAATGCCATAAAACAGGGAATTATGGTATTTTGACAGCAGTCAATAACAGTTCATGATCCTTCTTTCTTTATCTGTTTAATTACTGAATTTATGACTTCTCATTTGTGTTGTTTTGTGTTGCAGGCTGCTTGCAAAACAGGCCAAGTTAAAGAGGTAGAACGTATATGTAGAGAAAGCAACTGCTATGATCCAGAAAAAGTTAAGAACTTTCTCAAGGTAAGGTGACTCTTTTTTGATGTTTCCTTCTTCAAACTGTATTCAGTAGCTTGGTGTTATAATATTTCCAACTACTAGCATTACAATATTGTTCATAACTGTGTTTTAAAGGAAAGGATGAATAATTTATTTAATTAAGCATATGAGTATATGACAAGGTTTTGTCACGTCTGTAATACTTTGATCAGAATCATGTTGCTTGCAGCAGTTTTTAGATATTTTGATGTAATTGTTTCCTTTTATATTATATTTCCATTTTAGGAAGCCAAGCTGACTGACCAATTGCCTTTGATCATTGTCTGTGACAGATTTGACTTTGTTCATGACTTGGTCTTGTATTTATATCGAAACAATCTTCAGAAGTACATTGAGATTTACGTTCAAAAGGTAAGATGAATGTATTGTTTTTCTGGAATCAGGTATTTTATGCTACTTACATTTCATGCTTATGTACCTTAACTTTGTCTTGGTCCATAAGCACCTGCAAAAAAGACCTTTCAAACCTGGCTGACCTTACACATGGTCAATAATCCATGTTTATTTAACAAAGAGATTCCACGTTGTTGTCCATCTGTTCAGTAATAGATCACAGTAAGTTAATGTCAAAATGTAATAAGAAAAAAAAGTGGCACAGGAGCTGTTAGGCGAGTGGGTCACTGATGTTGAATGAGTGAAAAGTCTTTATTAAAAGATCAGGCACAGCATATGTGTGACTTAACAATCATTAATAAACTAAGCTAAAAACCAGTCATATGTATTACAAAATTATATACTTTTTCTTACCATATTTTGATGTCTTCTATTACTGAACGAATAAAGAAACAACAAAAGGTTAATGCTGTCATCTATGCGTCTGTCTTACAATAGATCATAAGTAAGGACCAATCAAAATGTAAGAATAATTCAACAAACTATATATTGCCTGATGGATAGTAATAAGAGTTTGATCAATCAACTTGGAGATGTTGGCAACAAATTTTCACAAGTAACACGTCAAGAAGAAATGGCATTTAAAATTGGATTTTAGTGATTACAAAGTTTTTCTTTGTCAGGTGAATCCCTCACGTCTGCCTGTGGTTGTAGGAGGTTTGTTGGATGTGGACTGCACAGAAGATGTCATCAAAAGTCTCATGATGGCTGTACGTGGCCAATTCTCAACCGATGAACTAGTTGAAGAAGTTGAAAAAAGAAACCGTCTCAAGCTATTGTTGCCTTGGCTAGAAGCAAAGATACATGATGGTTCTGAAGAACCAGCCACCCATAATGCACTGGCAAAGATTTATATTGATGCCAACAACAATCCTGAGAGATTTCTGAGGTTGGTACATGTATGATATGGTCTTTTTATTTTTTTTCCTCAAGCATCTGAGAGGGCCAGAATCCTAAATCCTTGAATTTCATTGGCTAATCATGCACTCGTGACCAGTCCAGCTTTTTACGATATGGCCCATGGGCCGGATTTTTTTCCTGCTGTAGCGATTACAGCTCCTAAATTTCGCTCCTAAAAGTTAGTGGTAATCGTCAATCTTTTGCCTTTTTTACACTTCATTGACGATTAGTCAATGCAAACTTATCTCTGTTCACTTGAACATGGCAAGGAAAGTTACTGTAAATAAATTCAGTTGAGTGTTTTGAAGTTGTGAGAGTTTGCTTGGTTGTTTGTAGCTTGGTGCTGTAATCCTGTATTTCTCTCACCGTAAAATTTGAATCAATTTCAGTCGAGTTTACCTCTCTGACTGTTGCTGTATTTAGGAGAATTTGTGTGCAATACACTTAACCAGTTTCTTCTCTATTCAATTTATGGTAGAAAAGTCTGCAACGACTGACAAGTTGTTTTTGTAGTAAAACTTCAAACTTCGCATGAAATTTCACACTGCAAAAACAATTTTGGAGAACTTAACTGGTGAAATAAATGCCACTAACATCAAGTAGTTCGAAAAAAATCTGTTCTTTAATACATCTTTCTTTGTCTACTACCCGAGTTACTTCTCATTGCGAAGAGTTTTTTACAAATCGTTAGCAGACAGCGCGCAAGCCGATTCATTGACAAAGTTGCATAAACAAACCCATTTGTAATCTGTAAAACCAGTTAAGTGCCAGAAAAAAAAAAACATGTTATTTGCTGGCTTAGGGTCGGTCCATGTAGTGAAAAGCTGTGACCTTGGTCACAGTTTTTCACTATACAGACCTCCCAGCTTGCAGATAACATATATATACTGAAGCTGGCATGGTATATCTAGTTTATGAGAACAGAAGTCTGAGGATATAGATGACCTTGATTGACTTGAAATCGTCGAAAACCCAAGGCGAATGGCAGGTTTTCCCAAATCAGCAACTGACGACACTGCCTGTGTACAATATGCCATTTGAAAGCCACTGATCAGCTTATTTAAGAATTGACATCAGCAGCTGTGAATGAGGTAGACATTTTTGCGAGAAATTGCTTTAAAATATGAAAATGAACGACTTCAAAAATGTATCAACCTTCTACTAAATTAGGTATACCCCTAACCTATAGCTTATTTAGTAGCTCTTAGTGCATAGCTTGATATGAAACAAGTCTTGCATTCTATTTGCATCCCAAAAAAGGAAGTAAAAACTTTTGGGAGTGGTCAACCATGTCTGCAATCTACTCAAAAAGGCATTTGCAACAGGACAGCATGCCTTTCTTTCCACTAGCATCACGTTTTTACAACATTTTTGCTTGGGCATGCACAGAAATCTGGACGAAAAAGGGGCCTATGTCTTTAGGCTTTTCATTTTTTAAATTTTTTTTCGCCTTTCCTTTTCTCCTTTTGCTATCTTTTTGCTGCAGTGATTGACCTTCTGCTGGGCTTGCTTCCAGTTGAAGAATTCCTGAGAAAGCATCATTAAGACAGGCAATTCTTACCATAGAGTTATGGGAAATTTTTCTTTCAGTTTTTCACTCAAATTTCTGAGCATTTTCGTGTATATTTCACGCTCAATTGACCCAATCACTCTGATCTGGGTATCATTGGAAAGATCTTTTCCTCCTTTAGAACTTGTGTATTAGTGAGGCTAATTTTGGTCAAATGTGATTACGCCAGAAGAGGAAAAAAGGGCAACGCTCTTTATGACCGGTTATGGCCGGCACAGGCGTCAATGGGTTAAACAAAGGAAATAATAATGGTGATGGTGTTCTTATCTTAATTGTCATAGATGTTTTGTGATTTTATATCTCCATTTGCTGCTTAGTTTTATTTTGACTGAGAAGATATAGATCAAGCACCTGAAAGTGTTGCAATTGCCCTACTGCAAGTTGTATTATCAACTCTCCAGGAGATTGTTCATTGTTGTAACTTAAAAATAATGTTATTCTTTCAGAGAAAATCCTTATTACGACAGTAAAGTGGTTGGTAAATACTGTGAAAAGAGAGACCCACACTTGGCCTGCATAGCTTACGAAAGAGGGCAGTGTGATGCTGAGCTAATCAAGGTACAGACATTCCACTTGCAGTTTTGCTTGCTGTGTTGTTTACAAGCTGTAAAAAACCCAGGTCTTTTGATCTAAACTTCAGCTCATGAAAACCTTACCCTTTTATATATCTCCAGCTTGGAAAAAATGCTTCTTTTGTGCATAGTCTCCCTGTATTGTCCATTATGGGGAATACCTTTGCCCCCCCTCCACCACCACCACCCCCAGCTTACAAATCTCCAGTAAGATATTATAACTATTTTCTTCCCACTTCAAAGGTTTGTAATGAGAACTCCCTGTTCAAGAGTCTGGCAAGATATCTTGTTCGACGGAGGGATCCAGATCTTTGGGCAGAAGTACTATTGGAAACAAACCAGTTCCGCAGGCAGCTTATTGATCAGGTGTGCAGAGCTATAAACTCTATATTATTATTATTTTTGAACATTCAATGCTCGAGATGAACAGTCGTTAGCATAACAATAACCCTAGATCATTCCTAGGAGTGATAAACGTGAACTGATTGAAGCAGGTTGATCCGGAACTGGAGAAATGTAATCAACTTGATAATCCTCTATGATTTAGCATATGGAAAACTAGTACCATATTTTGAAAGTTCATTTCCTTGTTATACTTGGGCTTCCAAGTTAAAGGGGGAAGGGTCAGGGTTCCAGGCATTCCTTGCAGTTGGGAAACTGAGGAAGAGAATTGCAATGGCTTGCTAATCATGTGATAGCTCTTTGTGAACATAATAATTTGCAGAATGCTTTGTTTTATGGAGAAAGCTGTGGAAAGAATCATGTCTTGTATGTTCATTTGTCATACAAAAATGTCGGGCGTTTCTGGAACGAGTCTGTCTGCGAATTTTATAGCTTGAGAGCTAGCCAAATTAGCAAAGTTCTTGCTAGTTTTCACTACAAACTATGATGCTGAGGCAAATATTTTATATGTTGAAAAAAAGGTTCTACATGCAACTGGAAAAATAGGATAATCAACAAAGCAACTTAAATAGTAAATATGTGAGCTTAACTCTTATGTAAAAAATCCTGATTATTTGAATGGTTTACATTGTGTTCAATTCTTGTAAAGTTTGATTCTGATAATCCAATATGAAATCCTAGTAAAAGGTCTTGAAGCATTTAGTTGTGATTACTCCAGTTTTACGTAAGTTTATGGTATTGTTGCAAGAAAGGATAAAGTGATATTGTACCTTTGTTGAAATTACTTGTTATTCTTGATTGTAAAGGTTGTGCAAACAGCACTTTCAGAGACTCAAGATCCTGAGGATGTGTCATGTACAGTCAAGGCATTCATGACCGCTGATCTTCCAAATGAACTTATTGAACTTCTAGAAAAGATTGTCTTGGAAAACTCAGTTTTCAGTGACCACAGGTGCGATAGTGTATTCATGTTTACTTTGTTGTTGTCTGAAGGAAAAAAGTTGATTCAGAGTCAACAAATGATGATTCAGAGGCTGAAGACCTCTGAAAATGGTTATTTCTCTTTGGGGGTCACCAAACAATTAGAGTACTCTGTGAAGATGGGCGAAGCCTTGTGGCCAGCGTTTCAAAGAGACTTGACGGAGGGACGGACGGACGGAAGGAATGACTGACTGAGTGACCGACTGACTGATTAACTGATTGACTGATTGATTGACTGACTGACTGACTGACTGATTGATTGTAAAACTAAAATTTGGTTTTAAGGTTTTGTATTTCTAAAAATGAATTATGTGCCTGTGGAAATACAATTGGAATGAGATGTGGCCATCTCAGCAGTTATTATGGCAATTTAAGCAATTGCAAATTTCGCCTGAAAAGAGATTGCTGGGCGTCAAATAAAGTCCCCAAATCTAAAAGTCTTGAAGCCCCGAAATCTTTCTTTTTTGGCGTTTAATTTGCAGTTGCTTTAATTGCAGTAACACCTGTGATGTTCACCTTTGCTAGTCTTTGTAGCTAATAAAAACAGCTATTGTAACAGAGTTGGATGAATATATAACTGCACATCCTTTGAAAATTGAGGGCAAAGCTCAGGCAGTGTCAGCAAATTATTTTTGACAAAACTTTAAAATCATTTTTTGTTTCATTATCTTGAAGTTCGTAATTTATATTCTTCCAGAAATCTGCAGAACTTGCTGATTTTGACAGCTATCAAGGCCGATCGGACACGTGTCATGGAGTACATCACTCGCTTGGACAATTATGATGCGCCTGATATTGCTAGTATTGCCATTGGCAGTGAACTTTATGAAGAAGCATTTGCCATCTTTAAGAAATTTGATGTGAATACATCTGCTATTCAGGTATGACAGTGGTGGACACATTGAACTGTGTCGTCAGTCACCTTATCTTGTCAAACCTTGTGTCACCTGATCACATGATTGTCAACATTTCCCTAATGTTCTAAGATGTGTCTGACAAATTCATCTCAGGAAGGAAAGGAAGTACATCCCCATGTTACTGTGCATCAATACTGTACTATTTACAGGGTACTTTACAGTCATGTTATCTTTGTAGCTTCATTCAGCTTCTGACAAACACGCGGGCTTTGTTAATGTATGGTCTAGCTATAACCATACAATAAAATGTAATCTGCTCATTTTTCTTGTACAACATCGAGAACTAATTCTAACCAAATTTGAAAGTACAGGACTGGATGATTTATTTTCTGCCGGAATTAAATGCATGGCAGCCCCAGAAAAATGTAATGTAAAATCTAAACTTGAGTATTTTGTATCTCTGTTCTGTAGGTGTTGATAGAAAATGTTCAAAACTTGGACCGGGCATACGAGTTTGCCGAGCGTTGTAATGAGGCGGCAGTGTGGAGTTTGTTGGCCAAAGCTCAGTTACAAAAGAACATGGTGAAAGAAGCTATTGATTGCTTTATTAAAGCCGATGATCCGTCTGCATACACTGAGGTTGTGGAAGCAGCCAATAGAGAAGGTATCATGATTTTTCAGAAGTATATATTTTTAAGAGGGCACGCAACCTTGGCAGGGAAGCTCTGTGGCTTTCTGCAGAGTGTAGACTGATTAAAGTGCCTATGAAGTAAAAAATAATTGCTGCTTATTTGAAAGGCTTTTCAAAGTAAAGAAGATTGGCCTTTCCCTTTTTGGAATATCTTTTTTCATTCTAGAGATATTTACGTTTTTGTATTATGCAAATGAGGAAAGTGATGACGTCATAGGTGGTTTCACTTGAACAGTAAAACACTGGAATTGCGGTCGTTTCGCCCGATGGCCCATTCGCCCGAAGACGTTTCGCCCAATCTCAGAGTCGATTCGCCCGAAAAAAAAGGTCGATTCTCCCGGACTAAGAGTCGATTCGCCCGGACTAATAAAATCCTGGATAATCCTTATGTTTTGTTGGCTTAACTTATCAAACATAAAGCATTTAACGTGTCCTAATCTTTGGCGATGCCAGTTAACCGTTGAGTTCAATTTGTCACGCGTTTATTGTAAACGAACGCTGCCCATGGATACATCTATTTATCACGCCGC